TTTGAGCGAGATCCGTCGTTTCCTCGTTCGGAGGAAAATACCGGGGCACGGATGCGGTTGGTGAATACCCCGGCGTGGCAACAACTGGCGGCTCCTCTCGTGGACCTGAAGTAGGTAATTGTAAGTAAATGAGGTGGTTGGTGAGCGCGCGGCGGCTACGCAGAAAGGGAGAGGGGGAGAAAAATGTGCATGCGGGTGAAAAGGTGGCTCGGATTTAATTAAAAAATTTTTTTAAACGGATAGCCCTCCGCGCGGCCACGCTGAATACCGGCATTACCGGCCGGTGCTCTTTCTTTAAACCCGTAGACACATTCACCCGGCAATTTATGCGGCGAGTTGCACGGCACGCGTGTTCCGTGTACTCGGCGCCAGACGTAAGAATGGATTTTGGAAAAAAAGAAAACTGAAAAGACGACGAGCAACGGGCCTCAGGATTTTCGTTTAAGAATTCGTGAGGACGGAACGGAGGACGTTCGTTTTCGACGCGAATGGGTTGCAAGGCACATAGTTTGAATATGTGCAGCGTTTTACGCAAGTTACACCCCCGTTTGAAGATCTTGGGACAAGTGCTGTATTTGCTTTAGAACTAGAAAGAATCTGTAAAAGCATTCATATATTAACAATTCTATTGTAAAATATACAAGCAGGCCATACTATCTGTGATAAGTATTGTATATTAAAAATAGATGTTCTGAGATCTTCTCTGTGGAGAAAGTGAAACCTTGGGAACACTCCATTTGCTTTGGAACTATAATGGAAAAATATGAGTAATATTTTATATGTTACAAGGAGTTCGTAAAGTATTAATATATTAGGAATTTCAGTGTACAAGCAATTTAAAAATTATATATTAATGAATATCGTGTAAAATATTATTAAAATATACATAAAAAATATTGTATTAAGAATAAAACACATGTAATAAAAATGTTAAACATGTACATTGAGTTATATAGTAAATACTAAATTATGTAGTGAATGCAAATGATGAATATGTCTTAAGATTTTATATTACCCGTTTAAAATTCCTTAGGACTGTATCTGTTTCAGAACTAGTTAAATAATACTTTATATTAAAAAGAGTTCGTAAAATGTTAAAATACATTAATAGTTTTATTACAAAGTGTACAGCCAATTTAAAAATTCTATTATCCGTGATAAAAATGCCAAACATTAAAAATGAAACAATGTCCCAAGATTTCGTGAGTGGAGATTACTTACGTATTGCGAACAAACATACATTTATTTCGAAACCAAAAATATTAAACGATACTTTATACGACGAAAAGTCAAGCAAAAGATGTTCAAAAATTTTCGAGCGGGGGGTACATCTTAACCTAAATCCTGGATACTCTGTGATTATTAAACGATAGCCTATCTGTCGAAGGGGACGCGAAATTATCGCAGCAGGTTTTTTTAATTCACGACCGGAACGTTATTTGTACAAATGCTTGTTACAAGATAAATAGTTTATGTAATTGGAGTTCATATAATGGGAATTCAGATTGAAATTGGTGGATTAAATCAGCAAGAGTTCGTTTAATCGGGCATTAACTGAAATTTGGCTCGAATAAACACACCGAGCTCGAGTTTATACATAAACAGTGTTCCATTTTGTGGTCCATTACGCGTGTCGCGAACGTTGCATAATAAAAACAACATTTTCGTTTTGATTATCAATTTTTTCTTGTTAAAAAAAAAAAAAAAAAAAAAAAAAAAAACCACCGGCGAGATCGAACTTCGACCGATGGAAATTGATTTACACGATTGCCAATGCAGGAGTCAGCTCGGTTTATTCAGCCGGTTGCCATTGTCCCCGCGTGTTCGTTAATTTAAAAGGTAATATTCATGCACACGCATGAAATACTATGTCCGCCGCACTGCATATTGCCGCGTTTATCCGCCTTTTATTTCTTTTTTTTTTCTTTTATCAATTCCCGATTACACAGTCGCGCACAATCAGGATTTCCTCGTTGATTTGATACCTCGTTGTCGCGTTTCGACGAATTTCGCCGTCGACCTTTTTTCTTTCTCTGGAATGGGGAAGGGTTCCCTGTACGGGACGTGTATTGAAGAAAATACTTCCGATAAATCGGGAACACGTCGATGGTTTCGAGCGGAAAAATTTCGAGAACGAAATTTCAGCAATTTGTTGTAACCGATACACAAATGTAATAAAAACAGACCGTGGCGCCGTAATTGATGGATAAATGAAATAAAACAGACTGCGAAGCGCTGTGTGTGGCTGTGTTGTAAAAAAGTATTTTCAATATTGCATCAATGATCCAATCTGGGGTAACAGCCTTCTAATTTTTCGACCGTAGTTGTACTAAATTGGACCACGATTATTTTTCGTTGGCCTAACGAAGAATTTTGTTTGAAAATATGTATATAAAAAACGTTTTATCAGGGTATCAAGAAGGTTTAAATGCGTTTAAATGTGCTCAGTAAATTAATTATGAAATATCTGAAAATGTGTGTGAAAATGAACAATTCTGAAAATGTATGCAACAGTTAGGAAACATTTAAGAATTAAAACTTGGGATATATTTTGCAGAGGTCATAAAAGGGTTATAACAATGAGCCTCAATATTCAATGGAGCCATCTTTAATACTAATTAATTTGCTTGTGATGGCCATTCATGTTGTATACTCATCTTTTGTTAAATATATACGTAAGTCTTTTATTAACACGCACACACACGTGTAATACTAAAAATAATTGTAATATCTATATCGTATATATTTTTACATTGATTTCAAATTTTAATCGATGTAATCATGACACTCGAGTATCGTCACAGTGAAATGTTAAAATGTTTCATACAACACGCGCAATATATATATATATAAATTCCAAGCACACAGGATAGCATTGATTTTAAAATTTTAAAATATTTTAACAAACAAATATCAATTAATTTATTAAATATATTTCTGAGAAATAATTGTCTAAACATATATACCATCTAAACATCAGGATATTTTATATCAACGCATGCAGTATAAAAATTTTCTACGATAAAGCGTTGATGACAGTTCAAATTGTTTCATAACACGCTTGCTTTTACACTTTCGTACAAATAAATAATAAGCCTAGGTCTAATTCAGAAACTAGTCAAAAAATGAAGAAACCCCCTTTCGCTTGACGAGAAAAAAAATTCGTCACCCCTGCAAGATTCGTTCTCTCTTCACTTCTCGTTCATTCTGGACGGTAAATGCATCCGACGACGCGGTGCGTCCCAGTATTTTATTTAGTTGGAGCATTCGGCTCGACTGCCTCGCAGTCAACGACGAACAAGTATTTATTGTCGGCAGACACGTAACGTCCACTTTCGGTCAGAAACTTATCTCGGTCGAAGTTTACTGGCACCGGAGGCAAACGGAGAAAAGTTGGCTGCCAGCAGGTTACAGTCCCAGTAACAATGAACTACCCGGAATCGCGATAGACGGGGGCGCGCCAAGACGAAGAGCCTCCACCTCGCTCACCCTCTGTCTGTCGGCCACCCTCGGCCCGCGAGATAACACAGCAACCCGTGATTTTTCGAATTCTACATACTCTCGACGTTTCTGCGATGCCGGAATGCACGCGAACGACCGACAGAGATTTTTCTCCTGAGAAATATCTGCTTCCTTCTTGTGCTTTTTTTATATCCCTTTAACCACTTGCAACTGATTGCGGACCATAACGAGCGACCAAACCGTATACGTATATGATTCGTCCGCTTTTTTTTTTTGAACTCGTCGGTACGATATCACTGGATCGAAATTATCGACGAGTAATAAATTTATTATTTGTTTCGCCTGGGTTATTACTTAAATATACTTAAAACCGAGATACATAATCACCAATGAGAAAGCAGAAGAGGGCATCAGAGTAGGATCCGGCCATTTGCCGTTGAAGGTACTAGTTGAAGGAAAAATAAACAGGAAAAAAGGAGGAACTGCAGAGTAGCGGGAAAGATTGGCAGTTAAAGGAGACTGGTCCTGTGAAGGGACAGAATTCTATCACAATGAGTGTGAAGGATGGAGGGCACTAGAAAAAGAGACAGAAGACCTATAGAAAGAAATTCGGGAGAAAGTCAAAACATCAACGAGAAAAAAATAGTCAAAAGAATCCGTCAAAAATTCGGAAACTCGGAAAGAGAATATGGCACAGCAGAGAGTGGAGCGAGGTGAAGAGAGAGGTAAGAAAGATCCTCAGAAGGGCAGTGAAGGGACAGAGCTAGAAGGAAGAATACACAAGAGCAATCAAAGAATATAAGTTGTGGTGTAAAAAGGAGAAAGAAGAACACGCAAAGGAAGAGGAAGACAGGATAAAGGAAATCAAAACAGAAGCTTGGAAATTCATTAACAAGCTTAGGAAAAGGAGAGAGAAAATAGACGAAGGGATAGAAATAGAGAAATGGGGAAAACACTTTATGAGTCTTCTAGCTTGGAAATAGAAGACAGAAGGGTAGTTGAAGACAGGAGGTAGACGTAGGCACAGATAGTTATAGATAGATAGTTATAAATAGTTATAAATAGTTGGACAGCTATAGTTAAGGAGACAGGTAAGACAAAAAACAACCGCTTATTATTGGATAGGTATAAGCTAAAGAAGAATGTAAACCGGAGTCATCCTAAGCCGCGAGACATTTGTATTATGGTTATTTGTATATGGCTTATGTATTATAATATAATAGTAATAATAATAATAATAATAATAACAATAATAATAATAATAATAATAATAATAATAATAATACTTAAAACTGAGAAAATGTTGCAATTTTGGGAAGATAGATTAATATAGTATATATAAATTTTATATCTCGTGGAAATATCAGAATGTAATAAATTTGGATGGATTTGTACGTGGTTCTCTCTTACATAACTGGCTCAAGGCTCAGTCTCTCCAAAGTTAATCGTTTCATACAAACGGTTCCGATGTTCAAACATTCACGTTCAATTGGATTGTCCTACGTTGTTACAAGAACTCAAGAAATCGCGTGACTTACTTTTTGATCCTTTTGCCAGATACACTGTCCCCTCTTTCCAAGCACGCGGCAGATCAGCTTCGCGTCTTGGCCAGGATTCACCTCGGTGTACTGCGGTGTCTCTTCGAACTGCTGAATACCACGGCACACTGTAAACAAACGAGCAAGCGAATATTAATCACTGATCATTAATCTCGATCGAATTTTTCATCGTAAGAGTAATTATTCGCCTACACTTTTTAACGACACTGATAGAAATAAAATTAAATTCAGTAGAGTAGAACAAGTTGAAATGCAAAACCATTCGGATAATATTCTAATTTCTTTTACATTCTACTCTTATTTATTCGGATAATAAATAATATTTCCGCGTCAACTGAAATAGTTATGTTTGATCAAAAGATGGTTTGAGACATTTAAAAAGAAAAAAGACTTTTGATATTTAACAATTGATTTCATATACATCCGAAATATAAACTGTCGTCTTCAATTCCAATGCAGCAATAAATTCAACCAGAATGAATTCATTTAACTCTCTAACTCTTTATTCAGCAATCCCACAGAGTTTCGTACGCGTATATTTCTTTCGTCATTTACATCACTCTTTCGTCTAACGACAATTAATATGTTCAACTGTGAAAACTCCTTTCCAAAGAAAACGTACGAGTGAATTAAATCGCCCCAGCACTCGTCGTTAACCCCCCGAGAGTTAATCGAACATTGACTGAAATTCGATTCAGATAAACGGGGGTTGTTCCGCCGCGCTCGCGAAACACTTGTGAAAACTATCCAATTAGATTGGAGTGTGCTCGGAAGTATACGTACATATCATATCACATCGGAGTGCTTGTTGCGGGTTTCGAAGTCCGAACTCGATTCGGTTCGATTAAACCTACTTGCTCAGGCACTCGAGCCGATCTCTAAATATCAGGGCACCGAGCGTTTTCAACCCTCTCCTCTGCCCCCCCCCCCCCCCGGCGCATAGTTTAACGCGCGATAAAAGAAATTCTCGCCCCGCGAGCGAGCCAATGAAAAGTTTTGTTTTCAAACGATGAGAAGATAACAGAGGGAGAGAGCCGTATATAAGCGTCGGTTTATCCGGGTATTAAAGCAGCCCGGTGCTCGTTAAAGTTGTTATTTAATTCGCAACTTCGATAAATTCGTTTAAACCGCGCCCCGGGGCTGCCGGGGCCCCTCTCGCGTTTTCATCTCGCAGCCTGCCGATAAATTCTATCAACGAGGTAATCGGGTTTGACGTTGAGAACGACGCGCCCTTAATTTCAACGACGGCGAATCTTTCTCTGATTAATTTAACGAGTATCGTTCGTCGATCCGCCTGCCCCTGTTCGTTATTTACTCGCGGCGGGATAACGAACAGCTCGCGCAACGAGTCTCCAAGTATGATCACGATTCTTATTAGAGTTTCTGTCGCAGTTAGAAATTCGTTATTAAGCCGTTTGGACGCCATTCGATTTAAATTCGGAACGCCCGAACGAGAGTTCGCCACGATTTCGACGTCCCAGTACTTGGAACACTCGTTGTAACACGTGTCTTGAACATTCGTGTCTCCTCTCTCTTTGTTTTGTTCATTCAGTATCAAACTTTCGTAACCACAGGATACGAATTGAGAATAGCCTCGCACATTCGAGGCGATCGTCACGAAAAAGAAGACTCGGATCCGAGTGCACAGATGACAAGTATGCAGAGAGTCAAGATTTGAGTATTAAAGTATTCTACGTTCTCGAACCGAAGTTTGAGAAATCAGAGTAAACACTCTCGGGTTACCGTCCTCGGGATATCAAGGGCCGTGACTTCGGTATCGACGATCGAAACGACTCGGAAATGAACGCGAGGCACGTCCGTTGTTTCGCAATTTTTTCCCCTTCCGGACGGCTAATCCCGCGTGAAATTTGAAACGGCCGCTTAATGCCCGGCGTTCCTGTTCATTTCGACGTTCCAACGTTTGCAACGTCGACGACGTGAAAGTTTTACCAGCGCGAGCGCGCTTGGATTGCGCTGTTAAAAATTCAATTTTTCACCGAGATGTGAATGATTAATAAACCGTGTTTCTCTTTTTCCTTTCTTTCTTTTTTTTTTTTTTTGCTTTTTTAGTCGTTCAGTGAATCTCTGAAAAAATATCCTTTTCTTGAATTGTACTCGGTTAAATTA